ATATATATATATATACAATTGTGTAGTAGGGAACACACTTTGATTTCATTAGCCGTTCGACCGGCAAAATCCGAACGTGTCACGTCAATTGCTATTTCGGTTGCGAACATCAGGTGGATGTGGCACATGCCTCTGGTCTGGCTGTGCGAAAGGCTAGTGAGATGGACTGGAGGATGTTCTTCGCCTCCGAGGAGCGGAAGATCTATGGCTATTCTTTCCGCTTTGTGGATGGCTTTCAGCTACACCCCTACTGCGAAAGTCCTGAGGCCACCTGGAACTCCAACGCTGCGGCGAGGATGCTGTCGCTGTCTCCGCTTTTGCTGCCGGTTCTGCTGCTTTGGGGGTAGCAGAGGTGATGCGGACAATGAACTGCCAGCTTTGTCTTGGGGATGGGGATCAAAAAATGGTTCCTCGACTTCCTGACAAAAAGCCGCGTGGGGTATGCAGGAGTCATCGGCAAGCTATTGATTGCGTACCAATAGAACACAATCAGACAAAAGTGTCATTGCAAGAAACACCTCCCTCAATCCACTTTTCTACTGGAGCATGTACCCAGAACTTGGTTCACTGTAGGGTTGCTTCTCAGCTCTTCCATCCCCTTTGGCAGTAAACAGGACACAACTACATAGAACTACTGTAAGCATATGATCCAAGTGGAAGGAAAGTGGCATGAGGCTTCGGATGTTTGTTTGGTTGTAGAGTTGTTGATGATGTGAACAAGTGATGCAGTGACCAGGTCACTCACCTCAACTTTGCCCTGACTGCCCTGACTGCTGCTACGTAGAGTGCGAACAGGTCTACACCGACCGGTACCAGGGCGGGTGGCGGCCTCAATAAATTTGCCATGGCATCATGGGCAATGTGTCCAAAGCGAACATGTAGCGTCCTTGCTCCTAGTAGTAAGGCGAGGAGCCCCTAGTAGCGTCCTTGCTCCTGGTAGCGATGCCAGGAGCCCCTAGTATCGTCCTTGTTTACTGAGGATGCATTGGATTAGGACAGTTTAAGTTCACGCGCAGGAAATACAAGGCTGTTTTTTATTTTTGCAAGGTAGGTGGACTGCTTTGAGGAAATGCAGTTGATGCACGCACTTCAAAACTGTAGAGTCAAACATGGATCCCAACAGGAGGTGGACGAACGTGACAGGCCATCGCTACTAGGTTCGAGGCCATCGCTAGTAATGTCAACTCCTGATTAATACACAGCCCCCGCCCCACATGGTAGGTCAACAAGGTCAAGAAGATATGAGATACCACTCATGAGGTCCACTCCCCCTGATCAATCTGCTCAGGGAGCAATCGTAGTCGCAGTCGTCGTCGGTAGTAGGTAGTAGGTAGTAGGTAGTAGGTAGTAGGTAGTAGGTGGTAGGTGGTAGGTGGTAGGTGGTAGGGTGGTAGGGTGTAAGGTGGTAGGTGGTAGGTGGTAGGTGGTGGTGGTGGTGGTGGTGGTGGTGGTGGGTCGTCGAAGTAGTAGTAGTAGTAGTAGTAGTAGTAGCAGCAGCAGCAGCAGCAGCAGCAGCAATACGAAAAATTGACCTGGTTGTGGGCTCGGATCAATTAACTGGGGGGGTTTCTGGTGCCCAACTAGACCATTAGGGGGGGAATTAGACACCAATCCTACTTTTAAGTTGGGCAATTTGTGGTGGCTTTGTGGGCTCGGATTAACTGGGAGGTTTATTAATCGTGACTTGACCTTAGGGTGGAGGCCATCGCTACTACAGTGGATTCCAACGTTGGTTGGAGGGCGAGCGCGGAGGCCTGTGGAGCACCCGTCCGTCTCGTCTGAGGGGCACAGCTACAGCTGCAACACGGGACAAGCTTGCTGCCCTTCACCCGCACAGTCCCCCACCAGCCACACCAAGCATCCATGAATTGCCTGTCGCACCAGGAGTGGAAGCCGCCGTGGTCTCCAATGCGTTGCGCTCCTTCCCGGCAGCCACCGCCCTGGGCCCAGCGGTCTTCGCGTTCAACGCATCCGGGACGCCTTGCGACCTGGAGTGGATGAAGGGCTCATGGACCAACTTGTGGCGGTGGTGAACTTGCTGGTGCAGGGACGGGCTTGCCCGGCCGTCGCCCCTGTCCTTGCTGGAGCTAGCTTGGTCGCCCTGCCCAAACCTGATGGCGGTGTGCGCCCCATTGCCATTGGTGAAGTTTTGCGCCGCCTTATGCACGAGGATGCCAGAGCACACTTCTGGCCAGCCCAGACAGGGGTGGCGGTCAAAGCAGGGGCCGAAGCCGCTGTCCACACACTTGGGTGGGCCGGCATTCTGGAGCCACTGACCGCATCCCTTCGCCGCCGCGCTGAGCTGACTTAGTGGGTGACAGCAAGGACGATCTGAGGTGCAGAGCCCCCTTTCCTTGATGCCTGCGTGGTGGACGTTTTTGTTTTCTGTTCGGCTTTCCGCTTCCATCTCCCAAGGAGACGGGTGCCTTTGTGTCGATTTTGCCCGGGCGTTTTTGGTCGGTTTTTCCTCCATTTGCCTTGTGGCTTCGACGCCGTCTAGACTAGCCGGCCCTACGAGCCACGTGGAGGACTTGGCCTTTCCCCCCCTGTTTCGGTGGGGCCTGTTTACACGGTTTCCTTTTCCCTTTTTTTGGGGCCTTTGCTGCAGGGCACTGTACAGCCGGCCTTGGCATGGCCCCTTGTTCCTAGCTTGTTTCTTTGATCTTTCGAACTTTCGAAGGGCCTTTGTAGAGTCAACTGTTTGTGTCCGACATGGACGAAGAACACAGGTATCACTCAAATTTGCTCTATATATATATATAATTCACTGTACTAGGTTGGAGGCCAGCCTATTGGGTTCCTTTTGCTATTAGGTTGGAGGCCACTGCTACTAGGTTGGAGGCCACACCCTTATCGCCTCAGCTGAGGCCGTCAGAGGATTAGAAGTGTTGGACAGAACCGCAGGGGTGAACATCCTGCGTTTTGTACCCAAACAGTATTTGTCCATCAACTGCAGGCAGGTGTGAAAACTTGGGAGCTCTTTACGAGGCCCTTCCCCAGCAGACATTCCTGGTGACGAAGTGAGGCCCATTGGTGCAAGCACACTGGATGTCCAGACCCCAGAAAGCAAAGACGCCAAGTATTTTTGCAATGCTTGTGCCTCGTGGATTCGTGACTTCGTTATTGAACAAGAAGTGGATTCAGTTTTGTTTTTTTACTCACACGCGTGTTGGTGTGTGTGTGTGGTTGTAGTCCAAGGCCTGTTTAGCCCGGGTGTTGCAGTGACATATTCACCTGTCGAGGGCAATGTGACAATATGTGGCCTTGTGACTATGTTCCATTAGACCTGCTGGTTTGGATAACACGACCTGGAGATGTCACCAGGTTCCACCCAGGGTTGCTGGACGGTGCCAAGGCAGCCAAGAAAAGCTTGGCCGATTTGGTGATTTTTGACGAGACCAATCGTCCTCCAGGCGCCAGCGGCGTAGAGCTGTGCAAGAGCGCAAGGTCCCGGGAAATTGGGTGCTGGATGAACTGCTCTTCGGCATGGTCGGAAGTACACGGCTCCATGTCGGTGGATCCGAAGCGTTGGCTCCAAGAAAGCGGCTCAGGGTGCCAATCAGAAGGGACAATGGGCGGGCTATGAAGTGTGGAGCCGCCCGCCAAGCAAGCAAGAACCCCTTCACCAAGCAGACATAGTGCTTTATGGTTAGTTAATTATATAAGCTATGTAGATAGTGTCTTCGTTACTTGTTTTCCAAGTAAACTCCCCTTCCATTAGACTGTGCAATGAAAGTAGTCTAATTAGTCATCGTGTTGTTGAGCTTGCAAAACTCAGGCTGCCCTCCTGACATCGGAAATGACCAAATTGTAAAGGCCGCACCTTACGTCACGTAAAAAGCATACCAAAGCCTATGTAGCACCGATTCGAGTGAGGCTTGTCAACAAGCCCTGGTTTGGAGATTGCCCGTTACAGGGGACAATGTCTCACAATAGGGAGACGCCCTCCACCCCCGAGTAGAAGGAAAGCATACTGTACATGAAACATCCACGATTTCGGAAAGCCAACCCATGACATCAATCAGCATTGATCAGTCGGAGCACACCACGCGATGGCAAGTCTGCCGTGTCCAAAATTTAACACTGTGGGCTTCAGGCGGGGAAATTTGGTGCGTCGGGTAATGGCAGTCCGTGGGGTTGAGCCCGGTCTGTGGAGCAGACGGCATGGCTGAAAGGATGTGGAGTAGACGTGAATCTGCGCTGGACGGAAGTTTGATCAACAGTCATTGTTGGAGCTACACTTGTTGTCCAAAACGGTTCACACTTCTACAATTAACATACCTGCATGTTGGTGGAAGCCAACATCTTTTTGTTCCATGATGTGCTTCCTGGTTGGGAAGGGTATTGGCCGCTCATGCTTGATGATACTTTTTGCAGCTGATTGAGCTACAGTAAGTTCAAAGGTCTCAGAGTGGCTTCAGAGGACAATCACGAGTAAGGCTTGGACTTCGTCGATGAATCTGTTTGTGCAGTGTCCATGACATGACCCTGCAACATTCAGAGGCTTCATGTCTACACATGTGGTATAACTCCCATCTAGAATTATATGCTGTATATACATTTACATACACATATGCCGATGATACCTTTCTGCAACCCACAGACCTGCTTTTGAGTGAAATATCAAAATCCCACTTCCACTCTTGTTTACAGCTCAGGAGGAAAGTCAGAGCTCGCTGCACCGTACTTGTTTTGTGCTGCGCAGGACGGCACTCCTTGGACTACCGCTCACCATCATTTTGAGCCTTCAGCAGGCCAGAGCACACACAGCTCATGGTTTGTGGTGGATGTGTTGGCAGGTGCAATCGTAGCATATCACCAAACAACTATTTAGTTGTGCCACCAAGGTTGAGTTGACTTTTTTCCAACCATGTTTCTTTGATACAGATAGACTAGGACTGGCAATTTCGGAGTTCCCCAAATTTCAATCATAGACTTTGCACTCACCAGGCCTTATGCTGGGCGGGGGCCAGGAGTCCTGTCTTGCGAAGGCCGCCTCGAGAGCGTTGATGCTGTGGCAAAATGAGCATCTTTCACTTGACCACTTCACATTTTTGTACATTTTTGGAAGAAGGTGACCACAAGATTCATGAACTCATCTGCACGCAAGACATTAGGATCAGTCGAACATGGTCCCAAAGTGGCTGGCGTACCCGCGTCGCGAATCTCCACTTTCTCCATATGCAGGCGTGTAGCCTTGCCTGCCGCGCTCATAGATATTCCGACTGTGGAGGAGTTAGATGACATGTATCCCGTGGCTCGCTCATGCAAGAAGCCCGGGTCGAGGAGGTGAAAAGGTGAACCTATGGTGTTGAACGTTGTCCGATGTTTTTGTTTCCGATTGGGCAACTGGTAGGGCATGAGAGAGACATGGGGAGGAAACATATATCAATCTTATCTCTTATTTGTTTAGGATGAGCACAGGCACGTCGTATTGTTATTCTACCGTGGCCTCAAATCTTACATTGACTGACCCTTACTTGTAGAATGACGAGTTCAAACCATTGCAGGTGGTCAAAGGGGGGCCCATGCGCAAGACCAAAGCAGGCGGGCTGTGTGGAGGCTCCAGTAGAGAGCAATCGATGGGGTGCATTGCGGCTCAGGACCTGTATCGGACGGGTCTGGCAGTCTTGGCGAAGGGGGAGAACTGGGCAGCGGTCTACAACCCCTCGGGTGCCACGGCGCATTGGCACAAGGAGATCACAGAACGAGAAGGACCGCGGCATCACCGCGCGAGGTGGAGTGTGAGGTTGTACAGCGAGTGATTAACCTAGGCTGTAAAGGGGTCGGAATTCACCATCTAAATACGCCAGTCTCCAACCCATCAGAAATATGGTCGAAACATGGCACGAACTGTTGCAGAGTGAGAGAGACCTGCTGAGTTGTACTAGAGCATGGTTCAAGCATGTTCAAGCCGTATCCGCAAATGCGGCCTGTCCCTGATGCGCCGTTAGAATTGACACTTGATTTCATCCCAACTCCCGACCGCACTCTTTTTTTTCCACCAGGAACCCCCAACCCTCGACTAGGAACAAGAAGCTACTAGGGGCTCCTGGCATCGCTACTAGGAGCAAGGACGCTACTAGAGGCTTGTGGCCTTACTACTAGGAGCAAGAAGCTATTAGGGGCTCCTGGCATCGCTACTAGGAGCAAGGACGCTACTAGAGGCTCCTGGCCTTACTACTAGGAGCAAGAAGCTATTAGGGGCTCAGTTCAAAACGGGATTTCGTTTGATTTGATGAACACCCTCCGACCTTTTCCCTTTCCCTCTCCAGTCGGGCCTCCTTATCTCCCACAACCGATGGGCTCTTTCTTGGATCTGGGCTCCTCTTTGTTACTTGTAGCTTCTTGTTACTAGTAAGGCCAGGAGCTACTAGTAGCGTCCTTGCTCCATTTGTAGCGTCCTTGTTACGCATCCGTGACCCGCTCCAGACATCTCCAGACCCTCAGTCTGGGCGTCCAGGCTTGACGCTCATGGGCCGCGCCAAGCGAACCTTCTGGCGGAAGCTGCACCTCCTGGGGCGGCTGGACCGCACGGTGAGCGGGATCACGTTGCTGGCCTTCGATGCTGAGACCGCAGAGGTGGGAACCATTGGAATGCGCGAATGGAGCGTGATTCCAGAGGATGCTAGGTTAGGCCATGGGCCATGATAAGCCCGCAATTCACGATCAAAGGGGACGGTATGACGGTAGTAAACGGTTTCAGGTTTGGGTCCTAGTGGACAAGGCTAAAGTGCAGTGCAACGGCAGGCTTTCGAGTCCGTCAACAAGTCAAGGACCTACTATGCGCCGGCAGCCTAGGCACACCTAGTTGGTGTCGATCATATCTCAGGACTCAGGACCGATTTAAACTACAGAGATCTACTGCAAACCGCTCGACAAAGAAGCTAGACTGAAATGCATTGGTTTGGATGGGGTCCGCTCATGTCATTGAGATTCGTTGAGATAAACATCACAATGCAAGAGAACAGAGAACAGTTGTTTTATGCATTTACGCATAGTCACCTTATTGAATTTAGCTTGCTATTGAGGCTCTGCCGAAATAGTGGGGAGTTCTTCTTTGACCGAGGCCGGCCACCGGTGGACATGCTCAGGATGGTCGACAAAGGGGGGATTTTGAGCATGGCCCCCCCTGGATCAAAAAAGAAAAGCTCCTAGAGTCATCTAGAGTCTCGACCTTAATGACTCGCACCCTTCTTTTGATCAGCCTGGTGGATTTTCTGAAGCTGCTTCTGGAAACTCGGTCACCAGGCGAGTTTGCGGTCAACCGGCCCTTGAAGGACAAGAGAGCGTTTGGAAAGCCTTGCAGCGACACGATGATGCTTGGAGTGCGGGTGATTGGTCCGTTGAACTCCTCTCCCTTTAAAGGGCACTAGCTGAGCAACGGAAAGCGGAACGCAATGGAACAGTCACTTTTGGGAAGATCGAATTAGGTGAGATTGCACCCCAGTCCAGCCTTCCAGATAGAGTTCTCAGCCCTGCGCCACTTGCCGAGGAAGGAGAGCCACACTGACGTCCAAGTGCTTTTTGGTAGTACCTCGTCCATGGATGACACAAGAACACTGGCTGAACCTGTGTTTCGAGTGCCACGCGGTAAGCAGTTCAGGGGCATGTGGCATGATGGTTTTATCCTTGGGGTGGAGCAGAGCAATCCAGCTCCGGCGCTCCGTGGTTTCAACCCTTTCACAAAGTAGCCGATTTAGGTAAGTACTCGTATGGCATACACTGGTTGACCTCACAGCACAATGCGCTTGCAGCCTCACCCCTATTTAATCGGATGTTGAATGAAGGCTCTTGTGATGGTGTCAATTCAACCAACAATGCAGAAGCGGCGACGCCTCAACGGCAAGGCAAGGACCCCAACTGCTGTTTGGTCCGTGCCAAGCCGACCACTGGGCGCTACCACCAAATCCGTCGGCATCTTCGCCTCTAGGCTATGTGAAGGTAGTGACTGAGGGCGATCTTTCTGTGTTCATCCCAGTTATGTACACATGTCGTCTTCCAGTGGAGAAGTAGACATCATGAATGATTGAGTTGAATGGATCAGAAGGGCAATCCGGCAATCCATGGCAATCCTTTGGAATTTTGATGTATAATACCGTGGATGAAGCCTTTTCCCACAAGCAAGGAGGTTGGCCAAGACATGGGACTGCAACAACAGATGCTACAAGTCTAGTAGAAGCATGTCGGAGAGGACCCCGCCAACTATTTCCGGTTCTTTGGAGGGGATATGACAGCTAGAGAGGGTCAGCCCCCAGTTCATAACATCCCTGCCCACCACATTATCAAAATTATTCGCACAATTTTTTGCAAAAGCCTAACCATTAATTCACCTCATTCATTTTCACCACAAAATCCCAACAGCAAACCATATCACAACCTCATTCATTCTTCATACATCCTAACAGCAAACCATATCATCAGCTCATTCATTCTTCATAATTCATCCACTTACTGTAAAATTAATAACAGGCTAGATACATTGGCGCCCAATGCATCCAGGTAATTTTACGTATAAGGTTGTGCATAGGCTCTCCTGTAACCATTTAAGAATGAACAGTTTTTGTCAAGCTTTTGTCATCAATTCTAATCATTTAAATAGATTATGAAATCTATCACGACAAATTATTTAGTAATCATCGTTATCAACAAATTCATCTATATAAATAATTGTGGATATCATCCAGTTCTATATAGTCAATGTCATTGCCAATCAGATCTTCATATACAATGAAATATGTCAAGTTGCAATCTTTGTAAATAAAGCCATAATAAGGAAATGTTCACCCTTTCCAATGGCTTATTATGTTTCCTTTCAGCTGTTCCTTTTGCCAATCATTGGTAAGATGTCCCTATTGAAATATCTACCATTCCATGAAAAAAGGATTTCTTGGCTTTTTACAAACCTTTTATTATTAGGACAGGAGGGAGAATTACCCGTTATACAGTTATCAAGGATTGTATTCATTTTTAGAACATATATTCAAAAGGTGGTTTGTTATACAGTATAAAGAATATAATTTGTAATTCTATTTTGCTGACATTCTCTTCTTGCTTATGTTCTGCAAATCTATGCTCATTTGTAGTAGCAAATGACAATACTGACAATGAACATGGTAATTACATACTATCTTGCAAATATATATATATAATATATAGATATATATATATATTGGTAGTAAATGATGTATATAGTGCTATTTCAAAATCATTCTTATTACGTATACAGCATTTGCACTTACTATAATCGAAAAGCATTTATCCTACCATTATATGTCAATATTCCTTTAAATGTGTTTCATTTAATAGTATTAAAACTATAAAATGAAATTTACTGAATACATTTTAGTAAATTAATTCATGTCACATTAGTAATCTAGGATAGTCTGTTATTTTAAAATATTTCTGTCCCAACTTGCTAGTAATCTCTTCCACTGTATATTCACCTTTCAAACAATGCGATGTTCATTCTTTCTCTGTAATTGCTTTCTTTCTGACTATTTTTACTCTGTTACCTACCTCTAAGTCAGGATACATTCTTTGTTTCCTTGCATGCATGGAAACATTTAAGCTTGATTTGAATTCCCCACCCGTAGGACTGTGGGGTTGTTAGATTTTTAGAACTTTGGACTTCAGTACGCCCGGTAGCCCAACTTAGCTCTTCCACAGCACACTGGCCAAAGTGACCCCTGAGTAGCGCAACTTAGCTCTTCCACAGCACACTGGCCAAAGTG